GTCCCCTGGTGGCAAGGTGTAAGGGGGGAGTGAGGTTGAAGCTAGGCTGACTTTTCAGGGCTCAGCAGGATGGCCAGGATAAGTTCCTTCTTGATATCCAGGACTTGGGGAAAGTTGCTCTGGACAGTCCCATCCCTGACCTTAGTCGGGGTCAGGGGACAGGACAGTTGTGACCGTGGCCAACTCAGAGGCTGGGTTTCTGGGGTGGGGGGTTGCTATGAATGGGGGCAGGGAGGAGGTTGTCGGGGTCTCACCATGAGCTGCTGGTCCTTGGAGTCCCCACTGTCCTTCATGCTTGCGGCGGATGGAGGGGCTCAGGCCGCGACAGCGGGCATGGCCGAGCCGCACCCCCACGGCCGCCGTGGGGTCCCTCGCAGCCTTCCTGCGCCGCCGCCGCTGCCGCCGCGCTGCCTGACAACCCGAAACCAACAACGCGCCCCGGCCAAGGGCGCTGACCGGGAGGCGGGGCAAGGGGAGGGCCCCGACGGCGCCTCCCGCCTCTGCGCCCCCGCCCCTCCCGCGCTGTAGGCGAGAGTCGGCGGCCTCTGCCGGGGAGGCGCCCGAGCTTTCCGGGGCGGCTGCCCGCCTGTGCGTCCCTTCCGCCCTTGGCGCGACCCTGCGTCCGCCCGGCGCCGCCGCGTCCGTTTGGGAGCTTCTGGGAGCCTCCCCGCGCCCCCCACCACCCCCGCGGCTCGCGCCCAGCCCCTCTCTCCCACTGACCTCCAGGGGGCGCCCGGCCGGCTGCGCGGGCCGTGCTCTGGGTCCTGGCCGCTCGCACCTGCTGCTCGCCTGCCCGCCTGCCCGTCTGTCTGGGCATCTCCGGGCGGCGACTGGCTGCCCGGTGTTTCCAAGGGCACAACGTGCATCGTGACTGTGGCTGGGGTGTCTGGCGCCGTGTCTTCAGCCACTGTCCAAGGGCAGAGGGGTATCGAGCTGTCTCTGCCCAGTCTGCCCACTGGAGAGTTGCAGGGGAGCACCTGCATATGACATGGGGTGTTTCACAAAGAGCCCGCCTCAGTGGACACCACTAGCTCGAATTTACATCCAACTTGCTGAACCACGGAGAGCCGGTGTTTCCGGTCCCTGCTCCGGGGCTTGGTTTCCCCGTGGCGGTGGTGGAGCTCCTCCTGGTCCTGATGGTCCGTCTTCTTCATCTTCTCCTGCACCCCCCCCCCCCCCAGGGAAGCTGAGCGAGGCAGCCCCCATGCAAAGACTGTGTGAGGGAAGCACACGGGGGATCTTCTTCCCGTGGAAGGAGCTGGGTAAGGAAGAGCCTTTCATTCATTCCCCCAGTACTGTCTCAGACAACCTGGCACACATCCAGGGGCAGAGCACGGTGCCAGGCTGCTCCCTGACACTGGCTTCCCCGGTCGCCCCTGAGGAGCTAGTGTTAGGTGTACTTACTAATAAACAGTGGCAGGAAGCTACCCGTGGCCTTTGATTGGATACAGAGATAAACCAAGCGAGGTTTGGTGGAAACCAGATACTCCTGTGTTGGGCTGGTGGGTGGGGGTTCCCTTAAGGTTTTGTCCTGTTCTCTGGCCCAGGTTGGCCCCGAGGCTGCACACCCAGGCTGGCTGGTTTGCAAATGGGGATGCTGCTGGGAGAATCAGGTCAAGTCTGAAGATGCATGATGTGGCTGGAAACTACCCTCCAGGCTTGCGTACCAGACCCTGACTCTCATCTGTGTGGGTCAGCCACAGGAGACCCCTGGTCATTTGGCCTATCGTTCTTTTTTCTTTCTTTTCTGTTCCCCCACGTGCATGAGTCCCATCCAGGATGGCTCACGGAGGTGAACACCAGAGAAGATTCTGAGCTTCTGGCCACAGCCCATCTTTACATAGAGATTCGTCAACGTTGTCCATGTTCTCAACTGAGTCCTCCGCTTGCCTTCTGTGTTTCTGTTGACGACCCAGCTGAGCCACCATTCGCGACCCCTCTCCCCTCATCCCTTCTACCCAGATCCTGGGGGCTCTGCCTCTGCAGGTGTTTCTCTTCTCCATCCACATGCCTGCTTCTACCTCTTCTCCCCTGAGCAGCACGCGACCGCTTGCTCTGCCCCTGCCTGCTGTCTTCCCCACCCTAACGTATAAGCAAACCCAACTACCCTGCTCTCCACGCCTCCTCGAGCCTCCTCCCGGCCTCGTCTCCCTGATCTGCTCCACACATGCAGGCTCCCACCATCACCGTTCTAAAAGACAGTTTGGCTTCATTCCCTCCCTTGAGATCCCACCATGGTTCCCCAAGGCCTTTCACACGGACCGTGCCCCTTAGCCTGGAGTCCCAGCCTTCCCCGGCTCATCTTTGGCCCGTGCCCTCGTCCCACCCCTGTTCTGGCCGTGTTCTATCATGGGCAGCCTTCTGGATGGGCTGCTCCCTTCTGTCACCCCTGGCTTTGTTCTTGTCCGTCTGTCCTGGAGGTCTGTCCTTCACTTACTTGTCTGGTGGGCAGCACAGACAAATTGCTTCTTCAAAGCCTCCTCTTACATGTCCTTTCCCCCTTTTCTGGCTTTTCTGAGTTCTTGAGATCTTCAGTCACATACCTGGAGCTTCTAGCGGGCAAAAGCTCCCCTCTGAGGCGGCCACGGCTCCTCTCTCAAATGTTGTCATCCATGACCGCTATTTGCACAAAGCAATGGTATTTTCAAACAGGGATCTGTGGCGTTTTCCTCCTCTTCCCTCCATACTCGCCTGCAGCTAGAATCAATGCTTTTGATGAGCCCTGAGTGCTTTTCAAGCCCTGTGACCCTCTGGGGCCTCAGGGACCTAAGTCCACCCCTGCTTTTGAGGGGCTGTGGCTACTTCTAGCTCAGGAGGGAAAATGAAAGGGCCCCTGGGACACAAGACATCCACTGAGGACTTTCCCTTCTTGCTGTCATCCCTCTCAGCACCCTGGACTTCCCAGAAGATGTCCCTCTGTGCAACCGTGTTTCTCTATTTCCCTGTGGATTTGTCCGCTCTTGTCTCTCCCGTGGACGTCCAAGCTCCCGGAGAGCAGAGTTGGCATCTGCTTGCTCATCACTCTGTGGTCGGTACCCAGCTCAGTGCTGGGTGGAGACCTCAGAGCTCAGCCCTTTCTGCCTGCCAGTGAGCTCCCTAGAGACCTGTCCCTGTCCACCATGATGTTTCCATGCCATAGGCCCTTAGCACGTGGAGGTGCCGGCTCCTGGATCTCTGGTTCTGGAAATCAGGGAAAAGCCATAGGGGGTGCTGGTCTGACCCTGGGGGGTGACCGGTAGTCAATTTTGCCTCGCCCGACGGTCCTGCTGAGAGCACCCGCTACCACTTAGGTCAGTCCAAAATGTGCCCAGACATTGCCAAACGTCCTGTCGGGGGCAAAATCACCCCCAGTTGAAACCACAGCTCTCCGGGCAGCTCTGGGGCCCGTGTCCTCACACAGTGAGGCGCCTGTCACAGGAGACAATACAGAGCGAGACACCTGGGGTGTGGGCGTCCTTTGCTCAGATGGCAAGGCCAGGCAGGGGGCAGAAACCCAGCCAGCCCACTCCTCTTCCTAGGACTCAGGCATTGCCCCCTCTCTCTGTGCCTCACGTGGCGCATCGGTGACTTGGGGACTGAAGATGGGGCTGTTGTGAAGGTCAGGCACTGGATAAATAGGTCCCACGATGAGTATTTTTTTAAAATAGAGATTTTATTTATTTGACACAGAGAGAGCTAGTGAGAGAGCAAACACAAGCAGGGGTAGTGGGAGAGGGAGAAAGAAACAGACTTGCTGAGCAAGGAGCCAATGTGGGGCTCGATCCCAGGATGCTGGGACCATGACCTGAGCCAGAGGCAGACGCTTAACCAACTGAGCCACCAAGGCACCCCCCACGTATTAAAGTCTGGCCACAGTGGCAACTTCATATTGTTTTTCGTTTGGTCACAAAGGGTGGCTGACCCTGGGTCCCTCCCCAGTAGGATTCTAAACTCAGGCAAGTTTTTAAAGGGCACTTTGGGTCCCCGTTAGGACTATTCGACACCCACAGAACGCATGGTGGTTGGGGGACTTTAGGTGCACAGCTGGCTCTGAGGAGACCTCTTGGCTTTGGACGTTTCTGGTAATGGTCACTGAGTGCTCTGCTGTACCACGGTCCCTGCTGTCGCCACGGGCCCTGCATGTGCCTGCCAGGCAGGGCGGAGACTGCATGTCTGAGCTCCTGTCCCTACTCTGCCCTGCGCTAGCTCTGTGACCCAGGCCAGTCTCCCCACTTCTCCTGGAATCTGATTGTTCCTCTGGAGAGTAGGGGCAATCAAAGAACAAGCCTTCCAGGGATTCTGTACAAAGAATTAGATGAGAGAACACGGAAAGCTCTCGGCACAGGACATACAATGAGCACTCGCTGTTAGCACTGTTATTAATTTAATTTTGTAAGAATTAAGAGAGTGGAAAGCTTGCAGGCAAACAGCTATAATCGAACTCGTTCGTGTATCTCCTCCCCGAGGTAAACATGCCAGGGCAGGGGGGTGGGGGGGTTGCCCAGAAACATTTTAGAAGCGGATGGACCATGTTTCTGAGTTGTAGGAGAGGGGAGGTTCAGAAAGGGAGAAGGAGAAGCCCCTCTCCCCATTCACAGGTCTTTCTGAGGCTTCGCCACGGCTAAGGCAAGCCCACTTGGAAAAGGTCTGCAGGCTTCACAGGAAAATGATTGCCCGAAAAGCCCTGCGGGGAGCTGAACCCGAGGGAACAGGCAGGGCCTGGCTGAAAGACAGGGTGTGCTCGGCTGGCTGAGAGGAGGGGTCCCCAGCTCCGCCATGAGCCCTGCCCCTTCCCTCCCTCCAGCAGGTCCCGTAGGACTGGGCTCAGAGGGTCAATGGGGGCCCATCCTTTGTGGGGTGTCGGGTCGGGTCAGGGCCCCTCTGCTCCCCCAGCCCTCCCTCTGTTGATGCTTTAAGGGAGGCGCTCAGTGCCCACTTGCGAAGCCAGCGCTGTGCCAGGAAACGGAGGGAAACGGGGGTGCAGAGCAAGTGGGGCTGCGGGCAAGGCTGGCCTGGCCCTTCTAGGCCGGAGTCTCGGCACGGTTGTCTTCTTCCTCCCCTTGATCCTCTCCTTCCATCTCCTCATCTGCTTCCAGACCCTGATGTGTCTGCAGAAACCGTGCAGAATCACTGTGGGGGCGGGGGCGGGGCTCCCCTGCACCCTGGGAAGTTAATCCCCTGAGGCCAAAACAGCCCCCCAGTGGAGGCCTGGGCTGCTGGGTGCCCAGGAGACCACTACCAGCTCCGCTACCAGCTCCGCGGCCTCGAGGGCCTAGTGGGTGGTCCAAGCCGGCGGGTGCAGAGGGCGGGCAAGGTCTAGGGCATCTGACGGACTCGGGTACGAGTCCTACGTCTGCCACTGCGCTTTCTGGGTGACCTCGGGGAGTCTCTTTGGTCCCCTCACCTGTAAAATGGACATGATTCCTCACAGGGCTGTGACCCGGAATAGAAACAACAGGGGTAAGGACCCCGCACCGCTTTCTCAGCCCTGACCCCAGAATTTCTGGCCAACCTCAGAAAACTTAAGAGAAAGGCAGGCCGAAGTGGGGTTGTTCTGTGCCCCGCACTCCCTGCAGAGGCCCAGCTTCTCCAAGAGGGGGTGTTCGAGCAGCGGGATGAGCCCCATTCGGGAACCCCCAGGACCAAGCCCGCTGTCGGGTACATTGCACCGTGGAGGGTGGCCACCGTCAGCACTGCCTGCTGGAGGGCGGGATGGGCCGGAAGCTGGGACTCCAGTCCCACCTCTGCAGTAAGCGGAGGGAGGGCTGTGCCCCGCCTTGCCGCGCAGACAGTGTGAGGATAAGGCCTCTCATAGCCAAATGCTTCCAGATGCGAAAGGAGCGGCAGACATCAGAGCTGGGCCCAGCCCCAGCGCAGGGAGACAGAGCGGGAAGAGCTCGTGACATGGGACTGGCTTGTCCTCTCCAAGCATTTACCTGTCTTCTGCCACCTGCCCGCTCCGTCGACACCCAGGAGCCCACCACCCATCTCTCGTAAGCGGGGCCGTCCACCTGGAGACTTAAGACTTCTCAGGAGGAAGAGAGTCATTCCCCACATTTCCCGGATGGACAAGTTAAGGTCCACTTGCTGAGGCCACTTTCCTGAGGTCACCCAGGAGGTCAGCGAGTAGGAGGAACCCAGGCCTGGGGCTCCCCCCAAAACCCCTCCCACCCAGTGCCCCCGCTTGGGGCCCTACAGGCTTTGGCTTCTTCTTGATGGCTTCCACCTCCTTCTTCTTCAGCTCCGTGAAGATGATGTCGAAGAACTCCTCCTCGGCCTTGGTGACCAGTTCCTCCAGGTTGAGGGTGGTCTCCTCCTCTCTCTGGTCATCGTCCTTGCCCTCCGCCTTGCCCTTCTCCTTCAGCCGCATCTCCCTGTGCCTGGCTTCCAGAATCTTCTCCCGCCGGGTCTCCCGCTCAAATATCTGGTGCACATAGGGACAGGGAGGCCTGTGGGAGGAGGGCAGCAGCCAGCGGCCAGCTCTCAGCGTGGGGTCAAGCTGATTTCTCTTTGCTCAGTGCAGCCCCAAAGGGGTCTGTTCTCAGCACTAAGGGCAAGAAAGGAGGACTGGACATTGAGGTCAGGAGGCAGGAGCAGAGCTGCCAAGTCGCCCAGTTCCGAGGGGTTTCCAGAACAAAGATGGCAGCATAAAGAACGCCCTTACAGCTGTGCACTGTGGGGCCCTGGGCCCAAGGAAGCACCTGCTCGGGGGCGGGCCCATGGTCCCAGCAGAGCCCGGGGGCTGGCCCCAGGCCTCAGCACCAAGCCTCCAGTTCCCCGGTGTGCCCAAGGTGCTGGGGAGATGCCGCAGGGGTCCCTCTGGGCGGGTGGGGGATGTAGTGACAGATCTCAGCCTCCCAACCCCCTTCCCCAGGATCCCTGCCTTCCCTGTGTCTTCTCTAAGGGCATCTCTGACCCTTTGACAGGGTCTGTTGCAAAGAGATGTCATCTGTGAAGCCAGACAAATTGACCTATCAAACCACTTTGACAGCGACAAAGCCCGGAGGGGTAAGGCCACTCACCCCGGGCTGCTGTGCAGGCAGGTCACGGCGAGTTCAGACATCCTGACCCCACTTACCTGCTCATGTGGGGGACACCACGCCACCTCCCCAAAGGTCCATGCATTTCCCGGGAGGTGGGGGGGGTGCTGACGTTTGACTCTGGCTAGCCTGCTCTGCCGCGGGCTGGGTCTGCACAGGGCACTTACGGAAGAAGCTATGTTCTTCTCGTTCCTCTGCAGTGTGCACAGCCCACTGGAGACCTCCAGCAGCGTGGTGGTCCCTAGCTGAGAACCGCAGGCAATGAAGCACCCGTTGTCCTGCACCCGGAGGCAGAATAGGGCCTCGTCACACACCTGTTGGAAGGTCCCGGCAGACCCGGTTGGGGAGGAGAGACTCGTTGACAATCTGGCCCCCGGGGATGGGGGCGCTTCATCAAGCTCTGTGTTCAAACACCGTCGGTGACTCCCCTGACTCGCAAAATGAAGGTCACGCTCTGAGATGGGTTGTCAGAACCCTTTGCCCCCTTCGCTCACTGTCCACCCCCCCACCCCATCCCCCACCCTCCACCCCCTCCGTCCAGCCCCACGGCCATTCTGCCATGTTCCAAACCCTGTGCCCTTCCATGGCCTAAGCCAGCAGGGCTCGGCTCCAGCTATGCAAATATGACATCAGCTTAGGTTGGAAGGGTCCGCTGCCAGGAGCCCATGCCCGGGCTGCCTGAGGCGTACGTCTGATGGGAGGAGACACAGGCCTTCTGCTTCTCTCTTCTTTCTAAATTTCCCCCAGGTGATTCTACTGAGCCACCAGACCCCAAAGGCCTCGATGCATGAGGAGTGGGATATACATGACCTTCAGACTGAGGGCAGGGTCACAATGCTTGAACACAAAGTCCCAGATGTCCAGGGTCCCATCCATTTTGGTGGTGAAGAAGACCGCCGGCCTCACTGGGCTCCAGGCACCGTCGGTGAGGTAAGCCATGTGGTACCTGGGGGGACCCGGGGGTGTCACTGGTCAAGGACTACTGTGGTTGGGGGGCACAGAGAGGCTGCTGAGCAATGGCTCTGCTCATCCAGGCTCCCTGGACTCCAGGGACTCATTGCTGGGCAGGAAGTTCTTTCTTCTGTCTGACTTCTAGCCATGCCAACCCGCTCACCAGCAGTTCACAGTCTGCCTGGGGGGCCTGGGGTGCTCAGCTGGTTAAGCATCTGACTCTTGATTCAGCTCAGGTCATGATCTCAGGGTCCTGGGGTCAAGCCCCATGTTGGACTCTGTGTTTAGTGGGGAGTCTGCTTGTCTCCCTCTCCCTCTGCCCCTCCCATGCTTGCATGCTCTTTCTCTTTCAAATCAATCAATTAATCAATCAATCTTAAAAAGAAAAAAAGGCTCCGGTCCTGCCAAGGGGCTGGCCACTGGTATTTCCCCACAGCTCTAGGGAACAGGTGCATGGCATTGGATCTAGGCCCAGTCTTCCAGCCGTGGGACTCATGGAAAGGAATCAGAGGAAGAGTGCGCACAGAGAAGTTCCTAATATTGACATAGGAAGAGTGCTATACTTCCTACATGGTAGGATTTAGATTTTCGAAGATTTCTGCTATGAGGAAGAAATACAAAATATCAACTCAAAATGAGTTAAAGACTTAAACACAAGACCCGAAACCATAAAATTCCTGCAAGGAAACATGGGGAAATCTCCTTGATATTGGCTTTGGCAGCCATTTCTTGGAAATAAATCCAGAAGCACAAGCAACAAGAGCAAAAATAGACAAGTGGGGTACATCAATGTAAAAAGCTTCTATACAAAAAGTTGAAAAATGAAAAAATAACTTAGAAATGGGAGAAAACATTTGCAAATCACATATGTGATAAAGGGTTAATATCCAAAATATATAAGGAACTCATACCAAAAAATTTCATAGGGAGTAACTCAATTAAAAAATGGGCAATGGACTTGAACAGGTACTTCTCCAAAGAAGACATCCAGATGACCAATAGGTTCATGAAAAAGTGCTCACCATCACTCATCATTAGGGAAGCACAAATCAAAAGCACAAAGAGATTAAAAAAAAAAGAAAAACCAAACCACACACACAAGGAGATAGCTCCCCATGCCTGTTTGAATGGCCATCATCAAAAAGACAAGAAACAGTGTTGGTGAGGACGCAGAGAAAAGTGTATCTTCCTACATGGTTGGTGGGAATGCAAACTGGTGCAGCCACTGTGGAAAACGGCACAGAGGGGCCTCAAAAAATTAAAAATAGCACTAGCCAACAATCCAGCACCCCCACTTCTGGGTATTTATCCAAAGAAATTAAAATCAGAATCTCAAAGAGATACCCACACCCTCATGTTCATTGCATCATTATTCACAACAGCCAAGAGATGGAAACAACCTAAGTGTCCATCAGACGGTGGATGAATAAAGGAAATGTGGTCTATAGATTCAATGGGATGTTATTCAGCCCTAAAAAAGGAGATCCTGCCATTTGCAGCAACATGGAAGGACCCAGAGAACGTTATCCTAAGAGAGATGAGCCAGATCCAGAAAGACAAATACTTCATGATCTCACTTCTATGTGGAATCATGAAAGTCAAACTCACAGCAGCAAGAGAGTAGAGCTCTGGTTGCCAGGGGCTGGGGGTGTGGGGGAGGAGGAAAACAGGAAGGTGATGGTCAAAGGGTACAAACTTTCATTTACGTGGGATACATAAGTCCTGGAGATCTAGTGTGATCTAGTAGTGCCTCTAGCTAACCACACTGTAGCAACTAGTAACGTTTGCTAAGAGGGTAGAACCCATGTTAAGTGTTCTTATCATCCACCCCCCTAAGAATAATTATAATAAAGGGGGCAGGAGAGAGGTGATGGGTATGATTATGGCTCTGATGGGGTCATGGTTGCACCTGTGTAACTTATCCCGATTCATGGAGCCTGTGTGCATTCAGTACAACCTTTTCCATGTTTAGAGTAAATAATAATAATAATAATAATAATAATAATAATAATAATAACTCCTCCTCCCAGGAGATCCTAATGCCCCCAGATTTAGGAATCCCTGGAAGAGAAGATGCCCATCCGGGTCCACAGTGGCAACAACACTGCAGGACCTGTGACCACGTGAGCTGGAAGGGAACCCCAGATCCACACACGTGAAGGCTGAGAGAGCACGTTCCCCAACCTCAGGCCTCTGCTCTGGTCTCTTGGCTCTGCCCGCACTGTAACATCTCCATGGATGTGGCTCTCCCCCGCTCCCCCAGGGGCAGCGGGACCACGCTGGGGCACTCAGTCTCCGGCATCCCCTTGGCCTCTCCTCTGGGCAGACTGGGCGAGTCCACAAGCGTCTCTGATCCAACACCAGAGCTCATAGCTCTGTCCCTCTCTGCTCCTACATGCCCACCCTCCCAGGAGAGGAAACCCATGAAGCTGTCCTGCTGAGGGGTCTGGATTCTTAATCCAAGCTTCCTCCATTCAAATCCCACCTCTGCTCCTCACCAGCTGAGGGCCAGGAGCAGTGGCTCTACTTCCTCATGGCTTTGTTCCCTGACACAGACCACGAAGGACAAGAAGAACTGTGCTACCTACTTGTGGGGTTGTCTTGAGGTCCTGAAAATGAACCCAAGGCTGTTATTCTTACCAGCCCAGGCTGCTGGAACCACATTCCTCCATAAAGTGGCCGGATTAGGCCGCTCCCAACACAAGCTCTGGTGTGTGTGGAAGGGCATTCTCTCCATGTTATGGGTGGGCATACGGAGGCTCGGGGCACTCCTGGGCTGGCCCCCTCTGTCCCCTCCCACCCTCCCTCTTACTTGGTCCACATGATGGATGACTCCCGGCTGTCCTCTGACCAGATGCGGGCGGTCCAGTCACCGACGGTTAGGAAGTTCTTTGGGTAGAATGGATTTCTCTGGAGGGCATAGATGGGGCCGTGGTGGCCTGAGAAGGTGCACACAATCTTCTCGGCTGACGTCTTGGCCTTGCGGTTGCAGGAGATGACAATGCCCTGCTCGGTGCCCACCATGAACTTGGTTGGCTGTGGGGTGGGGGAGGGGTGACACAGGAGCAGAAGGCACCATGAAACGTCAGCTTGGGGCTTCGTTGTCATGGCGAGCAGCCTCCTGGGATCTGGGCGGAGGGGGCTGAAGGTGCTGGGAGGGCCTTTGCTTTAAGCCTCTGCTCAGGCTGTTCCGCAGCCCTTGCTAAGGAGCTGTCTCCCCCCTTCCCAGCTTTATCAGACCCCCACCACCGCAATCTCGCACCAGGGCGCCCCATCTTAATGAAGCCCTCTCGACTCTTCTGGTCCCGGGGAGACTCATCAGGAGTCACGTGATGAGCAGCTCTTCACGGAGCACCATTGTGTCCACGAGGCATTTTGCTATACAGAGTCTAGAAAGCCCCCTCACCCAGGCTCCAGTGGCTCCCTGCAGAACTGGGTAGAACTGTTCCTGGCACCTTTATTCATAGAGGCGAAGAGGTCAAAGCCACTCAAGTGTCCCAACCCCAGTGACACTGGATGGACGCACGGGGTGGGCTCTGTACACAGTGGAAGATCGTTTGGCTTTAAAAAGGAAGGAAGTTCATGGCTTTACACAGGAAAAACAGGGGGCGCCTGTGTGGCTCAGTAGGTTAAGTGTCCAACTCTTGATTTTGGCTCAGGTCATGATCTCAGGGTCATGAGGTTGATCGATTTCTGCATGGGGCTCTACGCTCAGTGGGAAATCTGCTTGAGATTTTCTCTCTCCCTCTCCCTTGGCTCCTTCCTCCACTCGTGTGCATGCGCACTTTCTCTCTCCTCTCAGATGAATAAATAAATAAATATCTTAATAATACATTATATGTTAATAAAAAATTTAAAAATACAATAAAAAATATCTTAAAATAAAAAAGAAAAGAAACAACTGGACTCCAGGTTGGGGGTCAAAGGAAAGTGAAGAGACACAGCTTGAAAGGCCCAGAAGCATGAGTAATGAAGGAAACCCCAAGACTCCTACAAGCCAGTCACGGGGAGAAGTGCCCAGATCCGGAAATCGCAGGGGAGTCACGGGGAGAAGTGCCCGGATCCGGATGGGCGGCCATGCCACCAGTCTCAGACTTCTTGGTGGGGTTGGCCTGGCGAGCCTGGGCCTGGAGTCAGAGCCCTGGGTTTGAGCCCGGGTGGCTCCATGTTCTAGAGTGCATGACTTCCCCACTAAGACTCATCTGTTTATCTGGAAAGCAGGATAATAACGTTACCTCACAAGACCGTCGTGTGTGAGGAGGCAAGCTCATCACACAAGACAGTTATTAGTGTCTGGCACACGGCCTGCGCTCAGCCACGAGCCTGGGAACGCTGGGGACTGGTGGTGGCACGGACACCATATCCAGCACTTACTCTAGACACCCCTGGTTTCAGGACAGAAGGCTTTTCTGCGTCCTCTCTGCCATGACTACCATGCCCAGCGGTGGGGGTCTGTTAACTTGTCTTCCACCTCATCTCACCAGCTGGTTCCCCAGCCTTTGGTGAGCACTCCCAGGGCAGGGGTGAGGCCAGAGCACCTCCACGCCCCAAGGGCCTAGGAATGATGTCACATGACCTGAGAGCAAACAAGGGATAATCCCCAGTGGGAGCCAGGCCTGGGCTTCAGCAAGACATAAACTAGGAACCAGCCCAAGGCAAAGAGTCATCTGGGAAAGTTGTTTTCTTGCTTTGGAGGTAAGGGGGGGGTGTCTTCGTGTGCTGCTTCCAGAAGCTTCTGTCCTCTGACACATTCACATTACTGCTCAGCTTCGGTATTTCTTTACCATCCCTTCCCGTCACTAGTACTGGAATCATGCCTGTGCTCTGGTTTTCCGAGGATCCTCCTCTGACCTCACTTGCTTCCCCAATATCTCTTCCTTCCCTTCAGAAAGTGAAGCGACCCACACGAGGCAGGGCCAGAGCGTGGCCTCTCCTTGTTGGTCCTGGGCAGGGCTCTTCCCACAGAGTGAGGCCTTTCTGGAATCCTGTCCTCTGCAAAAGCTTGCCTTCTGCTCACCGGCGGCCACTAGCCAATGACTGCGTGTGAATGAGAGGGCTCGGCTTCTTTCCGCAAGAAACTCTGCTGCCCCCTGCTGGAGAGTCCTTGGAAAGACCACGTAGGTCCAGGATGACCGTGGGAGGGAGGGACGGCCCTCTGTGGAGCAGCCAGGAGCACACGGTAGTCCTGGCCTGCCCCGCCCTCGGCTCTGGCTGCCCCAGCGATGGAAAGCGGGGGAAGGAAGAGCTGGGACACTCACCAAAGTGGACTCGAACTCCAAGGAGATGGCCCCCAAGGCGTTCTCCAACCGCTCCTTTCTGGTAATGTCCAGGATCACCACCTCTGTGGGTTCGCTCATCTTTCGGATATCCCACCACATAACCTGATGGGAGGGCAGGGCAACTGTGAGACCAGAGGCGCCTCGATTCTCCTGGCTTTTGCCTTCCCTTCTCCCCACCACCCCCCCGCCACCTTCCCGGGGTCCATCACTGGGACCAAAGGGGTGGGTGTTAGAGGTGCCTAGTGACCTGCGGGACAAACATGCTTTGGAGAACCACCACTCTGGCCCACAGTCTTAAACTTGGCTGACAATCAGGGTTACGGGCAAGCTTCGTAAAATCTAGAAACTGGGGCCTCACTCCAGACCTTACTGCATCAAAATCGCCAAATGTGGGCTCTGGGATCTGAACTCTTAAAGCCTCCCCACAATATGGCAATACATAGCAGTGTTGTAACTGCCCACATGCTTTGATCCAGAAATCCCACCGTATGCTATAGGTGTGCCTTCACACGTGTGCCAAGACCTATATACAAGTATACTCTTTGTTACGTTATTCTTAGAATGACAACATATTGAAATCCATTTAAATAAATTATGGCATAGCCAATGCAGTTCTTTTTTTTTTTTTTTTTTTAAATGTAGGCTCCATGCCCAGTGTGGAGCCCCATGCAGGGCTCAAACTCATGACCCTGAGATCAAGACCTGAGCTGAGATCAAGAGTCAGACGCTTAACCAACTGAGCCACCCAGGTGCCGCCCTAATGGAGTTCTTAATGGGCACAGGGCAGTGTTTTATGAAGTATAAAACCATCTTCAAGATAGACTAAATGAAAAATATCAAGTGCAGATATTTACCTACGTGTAAGGTGTGCAGGAAGAGAGTGAAGAAGACAGATGTATTTGCTCCTGTATACAGAGACTATCCCTGAAGGCAGCCATAGGAAGCTGAGGCAGGTGGGTGCCTATGGGAAGGGGGGCTGGGAGGCTTGTGGGAAGATGTGGGAGGAAGGTGTTTCCCTCTCTGCCCTTTTGTACCTTTTGGATTTTGTCCCATGTGCATGCATTACTTACTCCTTAATTTTAAAATAAAACGCAAAAGGAAACGTTCCCCCTGGGATTTTGAAGGGGAACCAGGGAAGTGTCATTGCTCCCCACAACCCTGCCCCCCACAGTGGCCGGCCAGTACCTGCCCATCTGTGGATGCCGAGAAGAACTCAGTTCCTGTCTTTGATTGCAGCCAGATGGAGCCATACACAGGATCTCGATGGCTGAACTCAATGGTGGACAGCTCCGCCACCAAGCTCCCCTTACGGGTGTCCCAACAGGCTGGGGGTGGAGGGGGGCGGAATGAGGGGAAGGTGAATGGAAGCCCAAACTCCCTTTCTGGCTACAGGGAGAGGCGATGGAGGAATGCTGCTTCTCTTGGTTTGGCAGGAATGTGGTTTTTCAGAATCAGGGCTTAGTCCCAAGCTGCCTGAGTTTCCTTCCAACCCTTGAAGTTCACACACAATCTCTATGGGAAGACTCCCAGAGTGCAAGCTTCACTCATTTCTGTCGAGCCCCTACTATGTGTTGAGCACCACACTAGACCCTCGGAAGCCTCTGGGATAAGACGGTCCCCGTCCCTGAGAGGCAGGAAGGGGGATGGCGCAAGCACAGCTCATGCTGGGATCAGTCTGGTGAGGGACACGTGGGGGTGGTCAGGGCAAGCTTCCTGGAAAGAGTGAGAAGGAGTATGGACTGAGGATGAGCCTAGGATGACCCAGTATATACAGCCAGAGAGCAGAGTGTCTCCACCCCCGGAGAAAGGCTCCTGAAAGTAAGAACATTGAGGCAAATCTCTCCTGCTGCATACACGCCTTCCCTTTTATCTTCCACACCTTGGCTGCCCCTGCTGGGAGATGGGAATGCAACTCACAGACCCTTTACTCACACCCATTACTGGGGCTTCACCTCTGCTGCTTTACTTTTGAAACTTATCTAGTTTCCGTCTTGACAGACTGCGTTCTCCTTTTACCATGAGTGTGCAGCAAGGACCCACTCTATGACCCAGAGCTATTTCTAGGAAATCAACAGAAATACGATCCATGTTTTGATTTATGGAATTGAACTCCAAGGCGTTTGCCCCTGGAGCGGCCTGGCCCAGATATGGGCTTTTTTAGATAAGCTTGCTCGGTTGGGGCAGAGCAGTGCTCAAGGGTAGGTCCCCTTGCAGCACCTCCCACAGGCAGCAGACCCCCAAACCCCAGGCTGTTCTGAACTGGTGGGAAGAGCCCTGAAAGGGGTTATGAATAATGAGCGAGGCAAGCCTCCTGAATAAATCATGCACAGTGGCTCCGTTTGTTTTCTAGAGCCCTGGCATCAGGTAATTTGGCAGGAGACTTGTGGGATCCCATGACTGATCCCGGGGAGGAGGCAGCAGGCCTGAGGGGTGGTAGTCAGAGGCCTCAGAAGAGTGTCTAAGAAGTTTCCCTGCCATCCAGCTCCCGCTCTGGGAGGAAGAAGGGGAAGGAAGAGAACATGTAAAGGTAGGAGGGTAGGGAGGACGTTTTAGGGCCAAGGTCAAGTCAGGCCTGGGATGCAGCCACAGAGGCTGAGTATCTGCTGTCTGGGGGCCAGAGGTGGAGGCAGGCAGGCAGGGCCCATGTGGGCAGCGTCCTTCCAAGCTCCCCAGGGATCCAAAAACCAGTCTTATGGGTGTTCCATCAGCAAAATCAGCAGCCTAAGGACCTCTGAAAATCTCTTCCTCCATCAAAGCAATGAGAAAACTGGTAAAAATTATCGGTCAACTTTTTCAGACCAAATTAGCCCAAACTTTGCAGCCATCCAGAGAGTGTTCAGGAGAAAGCTGAATGTTAGTAAGGACAGTGAGTTTTGGGGCAGTTTAACTTGCCCAAGTTAAGACCCCACATTCTCCAAGTCCCACAGGGCAGCCTCAAAAAAATAAAAAGAACATTCCACCTTCCTGGTAAAATCTGCAGCTGGGCAGCCACAAGAGGGGTAATGCAGCCAGAGCTCATTCAGAGTCTCCGTCCAAGGAACCGCGACTGTCTGACCTGCCTGGTGGTTCTCCTGCAGGTTGTCTGTATTCGGCTTGACTTGGAGCTTGATGAGTGAAAAAATGTCTTATTATGGAGATAGCTATTGAAAACGGCGATAATTACAGGCAACTGAGTAACTTTGCAGCTTCCTGAAGGTGGGCCAACAGCAAACTAATCACAAAGCTTAAAAGGTAAGCATGGAGAACAAGATGTCCAGAGGGGCTTTGAAAAGCTCCAGCATATTCCTGGAGATCTGGAAGGCCACCTGCCTGGGCAGGGCTGCATGCATGCCCAGAGCTGAGCACACGCTCAGGGAAGAACAAGGGAGGTCCTAAGCCTCTGCCTCTGGCTGACCCCGAGGCTCTGCGCAGAGGCTCAGGCAGGGCTGGCAGCTGCATGGCTGAGTGTGGCAGGTATGCTCAAACAGGCACACGGGGGCTCTCAGCAAAGACTGGTTGGCTGCAGGTGCTTGAGGATAGAGTACAGACTTCACAAAATTGGTCCAGAATATTCACTGAAGCAATGAACCACTACAACAAACAGCAAGGAAAACAAACCCCTGGGCAGGTATAGGGTCTGATTTCCAAAGTTGTCACTTTATATCATGTAAAGAGAGTAATTTCCAGCAAAAAAGTTACAAGATATACAAAGAAATGAGAAAATATGGCCTATACACAGGGAAAAAGGCAATAAATAGAGACTGAGCCCAAGGAAGACCACTGTTGGACTTATTGGACCAAGACTTTACATCTTTGATTTTAAGGATGTTCAAAGAGCTACAGGAAACTGTATCTAAAGAAGTAAAGTATGGGAATGATATCTCGCTAAAGAAAAAGTATCAATAAGGAGATAGAGATGATGATGATGATGATGATGGTGGTGGTGGTGATAGGGAGAGAGCATGAGCAGGAGAGGGGTAGGGGAACAGGGAGAGAGAGAATCTCAAGCAGAATTCACGCTCAGCAGGAGCCTGATGTGGGGCCCAATCCCATGACCCTGAGATCATGACCTGAATTGAAATCAAGAGTCAGACGTTTAACTGACTGAGCCACCCAGGCACGCCAACAGATAGGAATTCTTTTTAAAAGGAAGAACGAAATAGAAATTCTGGAGTTGAAAAATACGTTCACTGAAATGACAATTCAGTGGAGGGGCTCAGCAACATATGTGAGCCGGCAGAAGACACCCACTGAGCTGGAGGGAGGTCATTTGAGATGACCCATCTGAGAAACAGAAAGAAAGGGGAACGGAACTACCAAAGCTGATTCGAGAAGACCTAGAAAGTGTGGAGCAATCCAGAACAAATGAAGAGGATGCATTAGAGGGGCGCGTGGGTGGCTCAGTCAGCCGAGCCTCTGACTCTTGATTTCGCCTCAGGTCATGATCTCAGGGATGTGAGATGAAGCCCCGCATCAGGTTCCATGCTCAGTGCAGAGTCTGCTTGGGATTCTCTCTCTCCCTCTCCCTCTCCCTCTGCCCCTACCCCAGCTTGTACTCTCTAATCCATCCATCAATGAATTAATTAAGAAAGAGATTGCATTAGCAATTTAAAAAAATTTTTTTAAAGATTTTATTTATTTGACAGAGATCACAAGTAGGCAGAGAGGCAGGCAGAGAGAGAGAGGAGGAAGCAGGCTCCCTGCCGAGCAGAGAGCCCGATGTGGGGCTCAATCCCAGGACCCTGGGATCATGACCTGAGCCGAAGGCAAAGGCTTTAACTCACTGAGCCACCCAGGTGCCCCTGCATTAGCAATTTTTAACTTCCCGTAAGGAAGGACCAGATGCCCTCATTGGTGAATTCTACTGAACATTTAAAGAATTCGTACCAAATGCTCCTGATCATCAAAGGAGGAAGGGAACGTGTCACCACTCATTGTGCATGGTGGGAATCACTCACACCCATCCCTGTACAGGTGTCTCTGCCTGCCTTTCCTGAGATGGAGCTCCTCACAGGTCTCATTATCCCTCTACTACTCTATTCCAGCTGGGGCAGGTGGGCGGTGAATGCTCCTTGACTTTATACTTGACTTATAATTTTCTTAAAACTTTTTATTCTGAACTGGTTTCAGACCTCCTTGAACTATTACGACTGGAGACCCAGCTGAGCTATCAGCAAACCCCAACCCGCCCGGATGTCTGGAGCCCATCTGCTGTGGGAAGTCCCCACCTCCCTTTGTGCCCCACGGGAGGCCCAGCAGGCATGTGGGCCCTGGTGGACAGCGTCGGGGGCTGGGCCCGTCCTTACCGAGCTGCCCATTGTAGCAGCCTCCCAGAAGCACGTGGGAATCTTTGGGGTTGTACTCCAAGGTGACAAGAGGAGAAGATGGCTTTAGGACAATTTCAGGCCTGTTGGGGTTTTCTATAAAACAAACACACAAGAAATGGTCCCATTCGGGGACCACGGTCTAGAAAGTGAAGGACAGGGTCAAAGAGTTTAACCCTTCTAGAAGTGAGAGGTGGCAAGGGGCAGCCTGGAAACCCCACCCCCACCCCGTCTTCCTCCAGGCTGCAACCTCTAGGCCCTGGTGACCAGAATCTGGAACTCTTGACCCTAAGGGCTCTTCTGGAGGTTTTCTCTCTGGTAATCAGTAGTGTGTGTGTTGTGTGTGTCTATGTGTCTATGTGTCTGTGTGTGTGTCCATTTTGTGGGTTTGGTAGGAAACCAGGTTTGACCACAAAGTTTTTACATAAGACCAATTCTCCCTGATTTCTCCAAACCAGTTTCTTTGTCTGTATAAGGGGATTAATGGTGGAGTTCAGCCCCCAGGGTGGCTGTAAGCATTTGTTGGGTTGTTCAAGAGCGTTGTGTGCTTGGTTCTGAGCTTGACGCCTACACTTACTCATAGCGGCTAACATTTATTATCACACTGGTGACAGTGAAGGGACGTCTGACTGTGTGTAGCCGCTCAACACCGGCTCCTGGCCAAGCTCAGCTCTTAGAGAGAGACAACGGGTCTGTGCTTCCAAGTGGACACACTGCTCCTCCTGGCCATGGGTGAGGGACAGATGCCAGGAAAGGTGGCACAGAGGGGAGTCTGTCTGAATTGGGATTTGCTGGGGTCTGGTCTTGAATGCCCTGATCAAGGATCTGGAAGTGAAGGGAGTTTCCTGCTTCTGATACAGCTCTGGTTTGGCTGTGTCTGAACCCAGACAGGGAAGGGATGAGCGGCTTCCTGGGGTCCTTGGTCCCTTCCTATGAGGGACCAGCCCTGTTGAAAGTCCCTGGTCTGTAGTTTCTATCTTCCACTCCTGTACTCTTCTGACCTCTCCCCTACCACCACCCCCCTGGCAGCTTTCCTGGCCACCTGGACTCCTCCACTTCTCACCCAGGTCCCAGATGTATGATTCGTGGCTCATGCCCTCAGGTGCCCGCTGAAAATTCAAGCAAGAATATGCCACCGCCAACTTCCTGTTGCCATCGGGGTGCCAGGAGAGGTGTGTGGCTGACCGCTTGATCTCTTGGGGGTCCCTTTACAGGAGAAGAAGAGGGCAGAAGACTAGAATGGAGGTTGAAGCCTCCCCACACCTCTTTACCTCTTACTTAATTATTTCTTTATGAAAAAATTTTTTTTTTTTTTTTTTTTTGGAAAGAGAGAGTGTGAGAGCAGGGGACAGGAGAGGGGGAGAGAGAGAATCCCAAGCAGGGTCCACACCCAGTGCCAAGCCCAACACGGGGCTTGATCTCACAACCCCAAGATCATGACCTGAGCTAAAACAAGAGTCAGATGCTCAACCAACTGAGCCACCCAGACGCCCCACAGAGAAATTTATTTTAAGAACAAAGTTTAGAGGACTCTCTTAATCAAAAATCCACCCTCACCAGCCATAAACAGAAGGCAATGATAAATACTATGGAAATAAAAAATAAACAAATAAATAAAAAATAATAATAAATACCCATGGAAATAAAAAATACTAAATTCTAGTCTGATATTTTCATTTGCTGAAAGTTTTGAGCCTGATCAAGGATCCAGAAGTGAAGGGAGTTTCCTGCTTCTGATATGGCTCTGGTTTCCCATTGCTATTGAAATAAAAAGGGAAGCAGAATCCAGCAATTCTTGGTATTTGCCCAAAAGAGTTGCAAAGTTTTGTCCACACAAAACATTGCATGTGAATGTTTTCAGCAGCTTTGCTCATAATCGCCCTGACTTGGAACCAACCAAGTTGAAGCTTGAAGGATGTCCGACCAAGACATCCTTCAGCAGGTGAATAGATAAATAAGCCGGGGTCTATCCAGACAAGGGAATATTAATCAGCATGAAAAAGAAATGAGCTATCGAGCCATGAAAAGACAGGGTGGAAACACAACGCACATCACTAAGCAAAGGAAACCTGTCTGTGAAAGGCCACAAAACTGTATGATTCCAGCTATGTGACATTCTGGAACACACGGAGACAGTAAAGAGGTCAAGCGTTGGCCAAAGGTTTGGGGGTAGGGAGGGATGGATAGGTGGAACACAGGACTTTGAGGGAGGTAAAACCATTCTGTATGATACATTTGTCAAGACCTATGGAGGGTATAGCACAAGGAGTGAACCCTAAGGCAAATGGTGGATTTGGGGGTGCTACAGGCTGACTGTTGTGCCCCCCAGATTCATAGGTTGAAACCTCCTCTCCATGGGGCCACCATCACCTCCAAGGGTAGTGGTACCTCCCACTACCTGTGGGAGGTAATTCGGTCCTGAGCCATTCAGAATGGGATTAGCCCCTGATAAAGGGCTCCGGAGAGCTGCCTCACCCCTTCTGCCATGTGAGTTCTCAGTGAGAACATGGCTGCCTGTGAACCAGGAAGTGGGTCTTCACCTGGCGCGGAGCCTGTCCACCCTGATCTGGGATTTCCGGCCTCAGAACTGTGAGAAAGAAGCTTCTATTGTTTGTAAACCTCCCAGGTTATGGTGCTGTATCAGAACGGTGGTTCATGATGGTGACAAAGGCCCCACTCTGGGCCGGGGTGTTGATGGCAGGGAGGCTGTGGGGGTGCTGGGAGGAGGGGGCATGTGGGAACTCTCTGTGCCTTCTAATCAGTTTTGCTGTGGACCTGAAACTGCTCTGAAAAATAAACTCTTAATTTAAAAAAAAAGAAAAAGGGCAGGAAGCAGAATGAGTAAGAAGTAAAAAAGGTCCCAACTGAGACTTTGTCCTTGAAGAAATCAGAAGGAACAAAGGAAGGTGGAAAGCCAAGTGACTTTCTCACCCACTGATTCCACCACTTCACTCCTCCCTAGGAGCACTGTTAGAGTGAGAGGAGTGCAGGCTGGCATCCAGAAGACCAGAGTTCCATCCTTGGTTGGGTCGCCCACCCACCATGCGTCCTGAGCACCATCCCCACCCTGGGGTCAGTCCCCTCATCTGTCAAATGTAGAGGTTGGGATGGGATGATGTCTAACCCATCATCCTCCTAAGGTGTCCCTATGGAAGGTCAGACCCCAGGAGGCTGGGACAGACCCCATCCTGCCCTGGACCCTCCCCTCGCAGCCCTTGGTCCTGCTTCACACCAGACCTGGATCACGAAAGTGTCTTTCCTAGTTGAGCTGGGACAGGATTAACTAATTCCCAGGACCCTCAGAGGGTCACAGTAGCACAATGAATCCCCCAGAGTTGGCATTTGAGGCTAGCCACTTCCAAAATCTCAGGTGTGTGTGTGTGTGTGTATTTTGTTTTTTTTTTTTTTTTTTAACAAAAAATAGTGCTACCCTACATATTGTTCTGTACCTTGTTTGCTCTGGTTTGGCTTCACAAAGTAAATCTTGTCATGGAAGGATCTGCCTCCTTCATTCTGATGGCTGCATGGTATTCCACTGTGTAGGTCTACCAGAATTGCTAGAAGCAGTCCGCTACCGATGGATTTAGCTTGGTTCCAGTTTTTGGCTATAGCCCACGCCCCGCTTCAGTGAATGTCCACACACACAGTGATTCCACACACACGTATCTATAGGACAAAGTCCTGTTGTCAAACTGCTGTCCTTGGGGGTCATTACCAGGTGCACTCCCATGAGTGTGGGAGGAGGGTCCTGTTTGCCCACAGTGCTGCTGGGTCACAGATGTCCTGTACTTTGTGCTCATTCTGCCCTGCATGAGTCAACTAGACTTGCACCCAGCTTTGCAAATTCCCTTAGTCTTTCCCTCGAGTCTGTCTTCCTTTTCCATCAACCAGACCTTACCCCCAAGGTAAGGACCCGTTGGCTGCTGGGTGTTCTATGGCTCTGCTTCTTACCAAGACCAGAGCACAGATGGCATTGTACCCACGGCATGGAGTGATCAGCAAGGAGTGACCTTTGGAAGCACCCACCCGTAGGGGCGACAGAGATCAACCAGACATCTGCCTAGCTAGAGAGGTACCTGAAAACATTGATGGTTTTAGCTGAAGGGGCCTCCTCTGTCACTTCCACTTCGTCCTCGTCATCAAAATACTCCTGGTAGATGTCAATGGCATTATTCTGCTTGATGCAGTGCTCCATGATCTGAGGAGGACACGTCGGAAGTTCTTAGCGGGAAAGGGAGGTCCCTGGGTGCAGCCTGACCAGGACTGGGATGGAGTCTGGGAGGGACAAGACATACCCAGTAGTCTTTCCTATTCTTCCTGCCCATCCATACCTTCTCCATGAGGCCACCATCACCTCCAAGGGGGTGAAAATTGGTTTTGGGGGGTAAAATAATATTACTTTCTATGTAGAACGCACAAATATACATAGAGTACATAAACAATGTACGTATGGTAGTAAAACTTCAGGGGGAGGCAATTAGGAAAAAAATGTCTAAAAAGGCTCATTGGGGACAACAATGAAAAAAAAAAAAGGTGAAGAAACACTGCTCCAGACAAACAGAATTGGTTATCGCTTCATAGACAACACCCATGCTCTGGTTCTGCAACCCAGAAGGCCCTCACCATTTTCCCAGATGCCCAGCAAGGAAAAGCCTAGCTCAAGGGTATCCTCTTTCAGGAAGCCTTCCCTGATCCCTTCAGCAGGAAGTCAAATCTCCTGCCTTACAGAGCAAAATAGCAAGTTATCCCTCATCTTACAGCATGTCCTCTACCTTATAGGGTGCTATCTCTGTATTTGTCATTGACTTCTAGGAGATTATAAACTCTTTGGGGCAGGATGTATGGAAATTTTTGCGATTTTTTTTTTTTTTTTTTTTTTTTTTTTTTGCAATTCATTCTTGCAATTTCTGCTGGGCCTGGCAGAGGCTAGAAGCTCAATCCACATGTGCTGAGTGAATGAATGATCCCTATTGGCAGGTGGCTGCTGAATGGGGTTCTTTGGGGTCCTCTTTGCTCAAGGGGAGCTCTTGTCACCCTCCTCCTACAGCCTGTCCAGCCCTCACACCCTCCCGCCTTCCCCTTTGGTTTGCTGTTGTGGATGGGTCTGCCTGCTCCCAGATAGAAGGTTCTTGAAGGTAGTCAGTGCTCTCGCCCCGAGTACCCACAGGAGCCGAGCACAGAGCCTGGCACACCCAGGGCTTCACATGCGGGCGGGGAGCCGGAGTGGTGGTTGGAGCTGCAGGAAGCCTCACCGAACCCAGCTGCATGATGGCGTTGATGTAGTTCTCATCCTTCTCCACCTTCTTCCGGAACCGGATCGTCTGCTCCAGCTCCAGGGGGTTCACATCCTTGGGCCAGCCCCCCTCAACGTGGTTAATCCCCCGGGTCTCCATCTCAAACCGCTCCGTGTTGGCCTGAACAGAGAGGCGCGGGCGAGAGCGTGCTTGCCCCAGGTGTTAACACGAGGCCATGACCGCCAACCAGCATCCCAGGCCCCCCGTCCCCTGGAGGCGATCCCCTGGCCAAAGCCACAATACGGTCAGGTTCCAGCAAGGAACTTTCTGGTCCTCAGACGGTCACAGGTGGCTACGGAAGTGCTGCCCTACAGAGCTAGCAGGTTTGTGACGGCGCTGGCCGTGGGTAATCCAGTTCTGACTTGATCTAAACCCTAACGGACCAGAGGAGCCCACCATTTGCTCTGTGTGATCCCGGAGGAAAAGAAGTGAGTGAGCCTGCTGCGCCTTACCTTGTACAATGTCATGGGCACTTAAAGATGGAAATGATGGAGAGGGAGGGATTGCTCTGCATGTTCTCTGTGTCGGGGAGGACGGTAGGGGCAGTCATAGTTTACCCCTTAAACTTGCCACTTTGCCTCCTTTCTATCCCCACCCCCATTTAAAATTGTGGTTAAAAACATATAAAATTTATCACTTTAGCCATTTAAAAATGTACAGTTCTGTGGCATTAAGGAACTTTCTGATGTTGTGCCACCATCACTGCCATCTAGTTCCAGAACTTTCTCATCACCTCAAATGGAGACCCCAAACCCAGGAAGCAGTCACTCCCCTTCTTTTCTATCTAGGCCAGGGCTCACAAAAGCAACTAGTCTTCATGGGGTGGAGACCCTAAGGCCATCTTGTTTATTTGGCTACTCCGAGGACAATGTCCCCCGGTCCCCATGATAGCAGTGAGCCCCGGGAGAGCAAGGAACTCAGTGCATTTGGGCCGGGAGGAACTGGAGCTGCCCATGAATTGTGTTTGGCCAAATCAAGTGTGATTTTCACTGGGTTGATCTGGGACATGACCAAGTGGCTTCTCTCCTTCAAACTTGTTTTCTCTCAGCAGCGCCTGACACAATTGAGGTGGCTCACCCTCCCCTTTAGACAGGCAGGGAGCTCGAACTGCACCATGACCCTCCACTCTCCTATCATGGGGGCCCTTCTGACTAGAACTTTCCATAGCACCCTTTCCTGTTCACAAGTGGAGCAGGTGCCTGGAGATCCGAATCCCCACTCCCTCAGTTTACCTCTCCCAGGTGTGCCACATGCCCAAGACAACTCTAGCAAGGGTCCAAAGGGTGAGGCCAGAGCCCACAGGAGAGACAGCAACCTGAGTCACATTCACCTGGCCTGGGGAACGACTGGTGCGGGGTCTTTTCCTGCCCCAGACACCATGGTGGGTCATGGGGTCCTTCACAGGGTCATGCTGTCCCACCCTGGCCGGCCACACCTCCACCGGCCCGCGGCCCTGGGGCTGGGTCCCACCTCGTGCTCTGACATGCTGGTGGAGCACTGGACGCCCACGTCCACCGGGTTCCGCTCCACAAACTGTTCGGCCAGCTCGGGGTTGGGCGGGATGTCGATGTTCAGCTCGGCCTGGCGGTCGGAGAAGTTGCATTGCTTCCCGAACTCGCTTCGCTTCTTGACGTACACGTACACGATCTCCATGGTCCTGGCGACTGTGGGGCAGGGGTGGGGGGCAGAGGGCGGTGTGTGGTAAGGGGCCCCACCTGGCTGCTTCCCCTCACCAAGGGTAGTTCCAGATTCCCAGTCTGATTGAGAGGAGGGGTCCTAGGGGATTTGTTGAGAAGCCACATCTGCATTTATAAAAACCATCTATCGAGTAATGACTACGTATGTTATATCTGGTTCTGTTCTTGCATTTGCGCTGAGGTGGACAATAACATCCTCATGTGACTTGGCGGAATCTCATACTTAGAGACACTCTGAGTGTTCTGCCCGGGACCATATGGCTCATAAGGGGTCTAGCCGCTCTGCCTGACTCCACAGCCCTGACTTACCCAACAGTACTGTTTACTGAGCTAATGTGGTTATTGGGGGGCAGGAAGAAATATTGAGGCGATCATGTTGGACTAAATTCCTTGCCACGTGCTGGACATGTCTATACGGCCCATGGATCTGAGAGCCCCAGGCCTCTCTGGAAACGCCCACCCAACCACCTGATTATCCACAACTGCCTTCCTAGAGTTCTAAGCTGGGCTGGATGCTGACTTTAAGTTCTGGTCCTGCTACTCTCCCCAACTGCTTGACTGTGGCTGGGCCACTCAGTCACTCCCACACCTGATGCTCTCAGGCTGCTCGGCCACAGGAACGCAAGGATCAGACACACAGAAAAGTTTCCTCACAAAGGCTAACTGGGAATCGTAGAAATGCAGTGAGCAGTTCCCACAGATAGCTCTTCTCTTCATTGACCCCTGTTATACCAGGACACTCTGTGGGGTCTGAGAGCTTGGTGACTTCCATGGCTGGCCAGCTGATGAGGTCTGTCTACAAGACTGTACTATGGAGGTGAGCAGAGTTGCCCTTTACCGGACACTCCTAACTCTCAGAAAGTGGTCTTTGATGGCAAGTTCCCCAGGGTTCAGACTGTGGGTCCATGAGGCTCATGGGCCTGCCTAGAGCCCTTGGATGAGTGGGTGGGAGCCATGGGGAGGACGTCTGGACAGGAGCCTTGCTGTGCTTGGATTTACAACTAAAGGTCTTTGGTCACCCAGAGTTTAGGTTCTTGCCTGTAAGCAGATGTTGCTACCTTTGAACCGGAAGGGGACCTGGTGGGAACATACTTGGAGGACATAGGTCCTGCTTTAAGTAAAACCCACAGAAAAATGTCCAAGCTTAGGAAACAGATGAAAAATGCAATAGAGATGATAGAGTCCCTCATTTTACCAAGCAATGTACTGGAGATTTTGCCCAAGAATGCCCTCTGGGGCACCCAACTTGAGTCTATTTAAAAAAAAAAAAAAGGAATCTGGGGTGCCTGGGTGGCTCAGTCGTTTGGGCGTCTGCCTTTGGCTCAGGTCATGATCTCAGGGTCCTGGGATCAAGCCCCACATCGGGCTCCCTGCTCAGCGGAGAGCCTGCTTCTCCCTCTCCTGCTCCCCCTGCTTGTGCTGTTTCTCTCTCTGTCAAATAAATAAATAAATAAATCTCCAAAAAAATCTTTAAGAAAAAAAAAGGAAATCTAATTACATAGACTTTTCTAGGAATTCGTAGGTTTTGTGAATGCCAGACTTTATGCCTTGTATTTGTTCTTATAGTTTCCATTCTCTCACTAACTCATTCAGCAAACATTTACTTAAAACTGAATAATCAAGAAGGCGTGGTACTGGTATGAAGATGGACATGACATCCTTGGACATCCATGGATACTCCATCAATGGAATGGCATTGAGAGTTCAGAAATAAACCTTTATATTTATGACCAACTGATTTTTGAAAGAGGTACTAAGGAGGATCAATGGAGAAATGATAGTCTCTTCAACAAAGGGTGCTGGGCCCGCTGGGCATTCATGTGGGACAGAATGACCATGGCCCCCTACCTCACACCACACACACAAATTAATGCAAAATGGATCACAGACGTTAATGTAAGAGCTAAGACTATAAAACTAAGGGGGATGAACACAGAAGGAAATCTTCGTGACCCTGATAGGGCAGATTCCTTAGATACGGCACCAGAAGCATGGCCCATAAGAGCAAAAACACTAGTAAGTTGGACTTCATTTGAATTAAACACTCTGCACCTCAAAAGATAACATTAGAGCACCTGGGTGGCTCTGTTGGTTAAGTGTCTGACTCTTGTTTTGGCTCAAATCATGATATCTGGGTGATGAGATTAAGTCCTGTGTTGGGTTGCACACTGGGCGTGGAGACCCCGTAAAATTCTGTCTCTGCCCCTCCCATTCCCAGCTCACACTTATGGGCAATCTTTCTCTTAAAAACAAAACAAAACAAAACAAAAGGGTGCCTGGGTGGCTCAGTCGTTAAGCATTTAGCGACTGCCTTCCGCTCAGGTCATGATCCCCCAGTCCTGGGATCAAGACCCATATCCAGCTCCCTGCTCAGTGGGGAGCCTGCTCCTCCCTCTCCCATTCCCCCTGCTTGTGTTCCCTCTCTCGCTGTCTCTCTGTCAAATAAATAAATAAAATCTTAAAAGAAAAAAGTTAACTATCTTAAAAAAATAAACAAAAAAAACCCAAGAAAACAAATGAACAAAAAAAACCTCATAACATTAAGAAAATGAAAAGACAAGCCACAGACTTGGAGAAAATATCTGCAAATCGTGTCTGATAAAGGACTTGCATCCAGAATATACAGACACCTGTGGGTCCCCGGTGCTGTGAAAAGCAGTTTGCAGGATCCCTCACTGCGTGCCCCCCACAGCCCCCCACAGACAGTTCTCATTCTGCGTATGAAGAAACCAATGCCCAGAGACCTCAAACACCTTGTTCAAGGCCACAGTTCTTAAGCTGAGGCAGAGCCAGTGCCCAGGGCCATCTGGCTCTAAAGCGGTGATTCTTAACCTTGGCTCTAGGTTTAGAAACTCCTGGAAGGCTTTATAAAATCACAAGGCCTGGGTTAAACTGCGGAGGAATGAAATCTGGATCTCTCCACAGGATTTTCCAAACTCCCCAGTTAATCCCACTGCGCAGCCCAAGGTGAGAACCACCGACTTACAGCGAGGGTTCTTAATCTCTCAGCCGGCCTGTCTCAAACCTGCGATGTTCCTTTGCAAAATGGAGACACCCAGGCCCCCTCTTGCAAATGCTGACCCTGTGTCTGGGACGGGGTCTGGCAATTTGCGTTTTTCACAATCCCCCCAGATCGAATATTACGATCAGACACATGTCTCATCTGCCTCCCCTCCCCTCCCAGTCTGCAGGGAACCAGACCACTGGGTCCTGGCTGCTGGCCCCTGGGATACAGGGCCAAGAGCTGTGGGCCAGCCCAGAAGCACGTGCCTGGGGTGGCCTTGGCCTTGGAGCAGCTGAGGCAGGGGCAAGGGGGTGAGGGTGGGAGAGTTAACTTCCAGATCCCTTTGCATCCACGTACATTGTTCCTTGAAGACAGCGCCGCCCAACCCACTCCCAGCCCAGGAACAGCTGGACCGGAAACAGACTGGCAGAGAACAGAATTTGTCGCTCTTTCTCGTGGTTTGGAAACTCTCCTGTACCAGGAGAGGTAGAAGCGATGGCTTGGACAGCAGAGGGTAGGAGCAGAAGCACGACTTGCAGGAGGTGGCCCTAATGTGTTCATTCTACATGGGCGAGCGCTGAGGGGCCACGGGGCTGCTCTGGTGTCCCCAGAGTCAGGGGCTGCCTGGTGCTCCCTCTGCGAAAAGACAGTTGCTGAAAAAGCCAGCTCTTTGGAGACACAAGGAGGCTTAAGAGCGGGAGGAAACTCCAGAGGCACAAAAATAACCTCTTTTGCACAGATCATATTTTAAACAGCTTTGCTTTCCTTCTTGGTGCCTCCCAAGGCCAAGCCAGGAGCGAGAACAGAGGCATTGTTTTCTATCTGGAGGCAGACAGAAGGGACATTTAAAGCCTGGCCCGGTGACGGGAAGACAGCTCATTCAGATATCCAGAGCGGGTTCTTTCTCACAAGCTGGCGGGGCCTGAAGATGAATAGCAGGGTCAGCACGGGGGTCTCAGGAGGTCTCTCCCGCTTGGTGGGACAAGGGCCCATGGCTGGGCGTCCCCAGGCGTTGCTGTCTGTCTGCAAAGCCGGCTTCCAAGGGGGGCGGGGACAGCCCTGCTGCCAGTTTGGGGCTGTTGGGGGAGGGGGCCCCCACCCGTGGGAACCTAGAGACCCAGGGATAGGCAGGACCCTGCGGGGAGTCTCAAACACAAGAACACGCACGGCTGACGAACATCAAAGCGACCAGGGTTGTCGGATTGGAACCTTCACCAATGATAAAAACTCCTCTTGTGTGATGATAATGAGCAAAGTGATTCCTGGAAAGAACCTCCCTGACTTAAGAGAAAGTGGGCTTTGGCCGCCTGGGTGGCTCAGTTGTTAAGTTTCTGCCTTTGGCCCAGGTCGTGACCCCAGGATCCTGGGATCGAGCCCCGCATCAGGCTTCCTGCGTTTCCCCTCTCCCACTCCCTCTGCTTGTGTTCCCTCTCTCTCTGTCTCTCTGTCAAATAAATAAAATCTTAAAAAAAGAAATAAAAGAAAGTGGGTTTTCCAAGATTGGGGTGGGGCTGAGAGAGGGGTGGCAGTTTGCGAGCTTAGTAGAGAGGCAAGAGGAGGGGGGCTGCTTTCCCTCCGTGCTGGACTCCACCTAACATAAACACGAGAGCATTTTTCTCTTCCTCCTGGTCCCTAGGGCAGCCCCCAGTTTTTGCACCAGGGACTGACGGCCTCTGTATGGCACCTGGCCTGGCAGAGGAATACAGGTGGGGCGCTTCCTTCCCTCTTTCTTTCTTTCTTTCTTTTTTTTTTTTTTTTAAGATTTTTATTTATTTGACAGACAGAGACCACAAGTAGACAGGCAGGCAGAGAGAGAGGAGGAAACAGGCTCCCCACTGAGTAGAGAGCCCAACGTGGGGCTCTATCCCAGGACCCTGAGATCATGACCTGAGCTGAAGGCAGAGGCTTTAACCCACTGAGCCACCCAGGCACCCCTCCTTCCCTCTTTCTTATGTCCTTGTGCACCTTCTAGAATGTGGGGTCCTAAGGGACTCACTTGTCTTCAAATGAGGCAGATCTCTCTAGGAATCCAACCTGCCCCCTACCACGGCATCCCATGAGGACAACACGAGGCACACTGGGGTCAACCTGAGCTGAGCTTCAAGCACATGGAGGATAGGGACAGGCAGAGGTGGGAGGAGGTCCCCAGGACTGAAGCGTGCTGCCTTGAGGTTCACCAGCTCTCCCCACTACAACGCTGTCTCCTTGAGGACAGACTACAGAGTTCCCCCTCACCCCATCCCTAGCTCCTGGTGCAGGAAGGAGCCCAGCACTCCCTCTGTCCCATGTTGAGTACCAGCCCTGTCCCCCGGGGCTCTCCCCTAGAACTCTCCCCCTCTTCCATTTCTGATCAGAAAAACAAAGCACAGCTATGCATAGATGTGACAGGGGAGAGCACACAGGGTCTGAAAGCCAAGAACACACTTCTGTGATTCCAGAGATTGTGATAAACTTTGAACGTGTTGCCGGAAGGTGAAAGTAAACCTGTGACCTTGAGCATGGTATCTCAGTGGGCTTAAGAATGTCCCCCTCTGGTTAGGGAGTAAATAAAGCCATGCATTTAGGGGAACTGCGACCTAGTCGGTGATCAATAATTATGGATTCCCTTCCCCCCCTTTATCAGAAAGCCCACCTCCCGCCACTCCAGCCCAGATTGTACTTTCCAGCCAGCCATCTGTGAACCCTTTAGAGACCTCCTGTCCCTCCAGGAGACTGGTGGATCAGAAGCAGACTAACTGGGAGTTCGGGGTGTAGGAGTCTAGGTGACCAGAACCTGCAGGGTCCTGTGACTCGAGAGAGTGCCGAGGGCAGCCAGAGGAATGGAGTGGGACACCTGGCACCCACCTTCCGGGAGGAGCTATCCCCAAAGGCTGCCCCCACGAGGAGCTTCTTGGGGCTCCCCGTTTCACTCTCCTCCCCTCTCCAGCCCCGCGCCCTTACCGTAGGTCCTCTCCTGTCGCCTCCAGGCCACAAGGGAAACACCTGAACCACAGCGCCGGCCCCAGCGCTTCTCAAACGGCTCAGCCCCGCGGAGTTTACCTGTTGCCTAGCAACCCCGGCTGGGCCGGGACGCGGGGCGGGGCGGAGGGCGAGCACGTGACCGCCCATCCCGCAGCATCTTGTGGAGGTCTCCAGAGTCAGGAGAAAAATGAACCAGGTGAAGCAAACACCGATGGTAGTAAACGTTTGTGGGATCTCTGCCAAGGTGCTTATCCAAATCTCCAAAAATGCATTGGGCAAGATCCTGAGAGCATGCACATTACTGTAGCCAGCGCCTGCGAAATCCTGCGCCCTGAGGGGTGATGCCAGGCTCTGCTATTATTTGTCTGTGGTCTGGCAGGTTGTCTTACTGCCCCTTCCTTCGGGTTCCTTGTCCACTCAATGGGAATTATGTCTGCACCCAGACGCAAGCCGGCCCCCTACTTCCCACCACAGGGAAGCAGGCTAACCAAGTTCAGGAATGGGCACTGGAGATCTGTACTGGAGTAGGCAGGGGACGTGTCAGCCAAAAAATGGAACTGGGGATTGGGACTGGTCCTGAAAAATGGTGATGAGTTGCAGGGGAAGGTGTGAGGGAGAGCACTCCAGACTGGGAGGAGGGCCTGGCGTGTGCGAGGGAGGGGTGGTTGCAATGGAAAAAGACGTTTTGGGGAGGTGGATGCATCATGGTGGCAGGAGGTGACAGTCCCTGTGGGGGAGAAGATGAGAGAGGAATTGGCAAAGGTCAGCTGAGGCCAGTTTGGTGTGTGTGTGGGGGGGGGTGTCCCAAGAGGCAGGCTAAGGCATCTGGAGCGCTTCCTGTGGGTTTGGGGGGCTGTGAAATTACAGGAAGAAAGCAAACATTCCCCCACTCTGGTTCCCCAACTTCTCCACAAATGCATCTTCCCGTCTACCCATCTGCCTTTAACTGGGCAGGTGCAACAGAATTCCCAAGATGGCACTTTGCCCAACCATACTAACAAGCCCCAAAGTGACAGCCACCAACACCTCTCCGCCCCCCACTTGGCTCCTGCTCCCACCAGTGCCTCCAGGTAAAGGGCTCTTTGGGGTGGGTGCTGAGGGTGGTGAGGGGGGCGGGGAGGAGGAAGGTCTGCAAGCCCCACTGAACTGGCTCTGTACAGTCAGAGGCAAATTAGACCCAAACAAAGCGTCCAGAAGAAACAGATCGGCTCCCCAGTGGAGCACTGGCTGGTTGGGACTGGAAACACACACATCCTCCTCCCCCTTCCCCGAGCCCTGGAAGGCTAAGCCCCTGCAAACACACATGAGTCCCCGGGTGGGGAAGTAGGGTAGTGAGTAGGGAAGAACCGGGAAATGGGAAAAGTTGAAGGAATTCTCCAGTTACCTTTCTCATTTTAGTGCAATGATACGCTACAGGTTCCCCACCCCCACCTGCACTCAGAAGACCTGCATGCTTGCAATGGCCTTGGAAAGCTCTGTTCTCTGGCAAAACAGCCATCACCCTTGGGCAGGCCCATCTCAGCTGCTCTGGGAAGCCAGCATGAGGTCATATAATTAGGAGTATGCCCAGGCATCCGGATAAAAACAATTTTCAGTGTTTCTCTGATCTCTGCCCAATCCCAGGGGAACTGGCTACTGAGATTCTTTGCTGAGAGCAGCCCCCGCCCTGGCCACCCCCAGGCCAGTCCAGGATCCACTGCACTGCTGTCCACCCCCCACAATTCTTCTTCCAATTTTTTTTTTCTATTGCGGTAAAATACACATAACACAAAGTGGATCATCGTAACCATATTTAAGAGTGCAGTTCAGAGGCCCAAGGTACACTCACACTGGTGTGCCGCCATCATGACCATCCATCTCCAGAACTCTTCCATCTTGCATAACTGAAACTCTATACCCATTAAACCCTAAATCTCATTTCCCCTCCCCCAGCTCCTGGCGCCCATAATCCTCCTTTCTGCCTCTATGATTTTGACTACTCTTAGCACCTCATATAAGGAGAATCGCACATTATCTTTTTGTGATTGGCTTATTCCACTTAGCATAATGTCTTCCAAGTTCATCCATGGGGCAGCCTGTGTCAGAATTTTCTTCCTTTTTAAGACTGAATAATATTCCATTGCCTGTACGATGACATTTTTGTTTATCCACTCATCCACTAATGGACACTAGGATTGCTGCCACTTTTTATGACTGTGAATAATGGTGCTGGGAACGTGAATGTACAAACATCTCTTTGAGACTGGCTTTCGATTCTTTTGGGAAGTAGAATTGCTGGGTTCTACGGTCATTCTATTGACTTAATAGAATTTCTTGAGTTTTAATGTTTTGAAGAGCCACCATACTGCTTTCTATAGCAGCTGCCCCATTTTACATCCCTACTGATATAACACAAAGGTTCCGATTTCTCCACATCCTTTCCAGCACTTGTTCTTTCCTGTTTTGGGATAGTGGCTCTCTCTCTCTCTTTTTTTTTTTTTTCAAGATTTTATTTATTTATTTGACAGAGAGAGAGCTCACAAGTAGGCAGAGAGGCAGGCAGAGAGAGAGGAGGAAGCAGGCTCCCTGCCGAGCAGAGAGCCCGATGCGGGGCTCGATCCCAGTACCCTGGGATCACGACCTGAGCCGAAGGCAGAGGCTTTAACCCACTGAGCCACCCAGGTGCCCCTGGGATAGTGGCTCTCTTAATGGGTGTGAAGCCACGTTTCAATTCACCATAGCTTTGATTTGCATTTCCCCAGCAAAGAGTGATGGTGAACATCTTGTGCTTGTTGGCCACCTGTATGTCTTCTTTGGAGACATGTCTACTCAAGGCCTTAGTCCAATTTTGAATCAAGTTTTATTTTGTGGTTGAGTTCTCTATCGATTCTGGATATTAATTCCTTATCAGATACATGATTTGCAAATATTGTCTCCAGTTTTGTGAGTTGTCTTTTTGCTCTGTCGATAGTGTCTTTTGGTGTCCCCAATTTAAACATTTTTGTGAATCCAACTTGTCTACTTTTTCTTTCATTGTCTGTACCATTGGGATCATGCTCCAGAAATCATGGCCAAATCCCATGTTATGAAGTTTTTACTCCATGCTTTCTTCTAAGGGATTCATAGCTTTAGGTCCTACATTAAGGTCTTTGTCCATTTCAAGTTAATTTTTGTATTTGCTGTTAGGTAAGGGACCAACATAATTTCTATGTGGATGTCCAGTTTTTCCAGTGCCATTTGTTGAAAAGACTGCCTTTTCGGGGCACCTGGGCAGCTCAGTGGGTTAAAGCCACTGCCTTCGGATCAGGTCAGGATCCTAGGGTCCTGGGATCAGGCCCCACATCAGGCTCTCTGCTCAGCAGGGAGCCTGTTTCCCTTCCTCTTTCTCTGCCTGCCTCTCCGCCTACTTGTGATCTCTGTTAAATAAATAAATAAAATCTTAAAAAAAAAAAAAAGAAAAGAAAAAGACTGCCCTTTCCCCATTGAATGGTCCTGACCCCATTGTTGAAAATCATTTGACCACGCATGTGAAGGTTTATTTCGGGACTCTGTTTTACTCCATCGGACTCGTGTCTTGACATCATGCCAACATTACTCTTTTAATTATTATGGCTTTGTAGTAAGTTTTGAAACCGGAAGTGTGAGTCTGCCAGGTGTGTTTTTCTTTTTCGAGATTCTTTTGCCTATTTTGAGCTTGAGGAGATTCCATACAGATGTTAGGATTGGTTTTTCTGTTTATACTGCAAAAAATGTTATTTTTCAATAGGGGTTGTGTTGAATCTGTAGATCACGTTGGGTAGTACTGACACCTTAATGATATTAAGTCTTCCAATCCATGAACATGGATATCTTTCCATGTATCTTTTTCTCTCAGTTCTTTCAGCAGTGTTTTGTAGATTTCATTGTACAAGACTTTAATTTCTTTGATTAACTCCTAAGGAGTTTTTTTTTTAGATTTGATTATAAATATAATTATTTTTTAAATTTCCTTTTCAGACTGTTCACTGTTAGTTTTGATTTACAGAAAAGTTGTAAAGATCATACAAAGAGCTCCCATATACCCCTGCTGCAATTGGAATGTTTATACCCTCCTCAAATTTATATGTTGATATCCTAATGTTCAACGTTGATAGTGTGCAGAGGTGGGGCCTTTGGGAGGTGATTAGTCATGAGGATGGAGCTGTCATGAATGGGATTAGTGCTCTTACAAAAGAGACCCCACAGAACTCCCTAGCCCCTTCCACTATGTGAGAGCACAGCGAAGAGGCACCATCTATGAACCTGGGAAGCCTTGTCTATTTGTAAACTCCATGAAGTCAAGGGCCACAACTGCCTTAGATGCTCCCGTAGCCCCAGAATTTAGAGATGGTGATGTGCTAGGCCAGGTGCCAGCAAACTACACAGTACTATAAGAAATAGTAGGGTGCCTGGGTGGCTCAGTCGGTTAAACATCTGCCTTCAGCTCAGATCATGATCCTGGGGTCCTGGGATCGAGTCCCATATTGGGGGCGCGGTCCCTGCTCAGCGGGGATCCTGCTTCTCCCTCTCCCTCTGCTGCTCCCCCTGCTTGTTCTCTCTCTCTCTCTGTCAAATAAATAAATAAAATCATTAAAAAATTAGTAAATATTTTAGGCTGCAAGTTGAGAAGAAAATCAAAGACATGTTGTAGCTGCTTCCATGATAAGGGAGAAAACTATTCCCACATATTTGATTAACAAAATTAAAAATATTATATCGAGTTGAATTTTTCTGTCATACGGGTCTATTAATGAGAAGGATGGAATTCTTTGGAGGGCAGACAACACTTGGTTTTACTGAGGTTCAGAGTTAGTCTTCTCTACTGTCAAAATCTGTTGCAAATATTTTATTATTATTATTTTCTAATATAGAATCTATATAGAATTTTCTAATATAGAATCTAATATAGAATATAGAATATAGAATCTAATATTTTCTAATATAGAATCTAATACTCACTGGCTATTGAGGCAGCAGGTCAGGTGGGGCTCACAGGTGGTGGTCGTTTGCTGGCCCCCTGTGCTAAGCCATCAGTGCACTTT